CACAGAATGGATGCAGTCCGAAATTTGCTCAACTTTATATCTATGATACTCAAAATGAAATAACAAACGAGTTTCTCATTTTGGGTAAGTATTATATTGCTTATTCTCATATTTATTTCTTTAAAATTTTCTTATTCTTATCTACATGTACTTTTTGGTAATAGGTCCAACATACATGACTCAACCTTTGATAATTCTTTAATTGTCGATTTGACAAAAATGATCGATGAATTCAATGTTCTTGCTCAATCTTTTAGAAGAGTTAGAGATTTTTTACACTATGATCCAAGAAAAGATTTTAAATTGCGTTTGTTTCGAAATCGATCCAAGGATTCTCGGGTATACAATACACCTTCATCGAGATGAGGTAGCAACATTGATAGTTGGTGACTTGGATAACATGGATGTAGGCAGAGATATAATTGTCCAAAAGGTTTGTGGTGAATTGACAAGACTACATGAAACACATACAGACCTTTATTCCTTTGCAATATCCTTTGATATTTCCATATGGAGAAGATGGCTATCAAGAAGATATTCCAATAAGAGAATCTGTGAACCGTACTCAAATGCGTAAAAGAATTCGTATTTCTTTAAGGGAATTTATTGCATTTAGAATTCAAGAGAGAGTTGTTGAATTTGGTAATATTGTCATGACACGTAGATTATTCCAACAATTCTTGGTTGATTGTTATACTATGATTGAAGCTCAAAGATTATCATTCATACGAGCAAATCAAAAATTAATTCGTTGTGATCTTCTTAACGGATTACAAGAAGCGATCAGAAGAGGTGAAACTGATCCTTCTTTACTTGGCAAACGTGTTGTTCTACCTGCTTCATTTACGGGTGGTATGAGATACATGTTTAATAAGCTGTCAAGATGCTATGGCTATTTGCAAAAGATTTGGATACCCAGATTTATTTATAACGATCACATGCAATGTAAAATGGAGTGAAATACATGATTTTGTTCATGCAAGAGGTTTAAGCTACTGCGAGATAGACCTGATATTGTTTGTCGAGTTTTCAAAATGAAGTTAGATCAAATGATGTCAGATTTCAAGAAAGATAACTTCTTTGGAAAAGTCAATGCAGGTTTGTATAATTCATTACTACATATTACAAATTTAAATAATAGCGATTTTATATCTTATATCTTATATCTTATTTCCTATTTATTTTGATGATAGGAATGTACACTGTAGAGTTCCAAAAACGAGGACTTCCACATGCTCACATCTTATTATGGTTGGATAGTGAAAATAAATTGCATAATGGAAGGGACATTGATAAGGTAATCTCTGTTGAATTACCTCATTCAGATTTGTATCCAAAACTTTCTAGCATGGTTGCAAGTTACATGATCCATGGTCCATGTGGAGCTGCAAAATTCAATTCACCTTGCATGAAAGAAGGTAGATGTTCAAAATATTATCCCAAGAAATTTACATCTTCAACTACTATAGATGAAGACGGATATCCGTCTTATAAACGTCAAGATAATGGCATATTTGTTATAAAGAATGGACTTAAACTAGATAATTGTAGTGTTGTTCCTTATAGTCCACTTCTTTTGATGAGGTATCAAGCTCATGTTAATACTGAATATTGCAACAAGTCAAATTCAATCAAGTATTTATTTAAATATGTCAACAAAGGACCAGATAGAGCAACCATTAACATTAGTAGTAGTTCTGCAGATTCTACTAATTCAGAAGTTGTTGATGAAATTAAAAGATACTATGATTGTAGATACTTATCACCATCTGAGGCAGTTTGGAGAATTTTTGGTTTTGATATTCATCATAGATGGCCATCTCGTGCAAAGATTGACATTTCATCTCATAAGTCAACAATCAATTTTTTTAAAGATGATGACCATATTCATGCCATCTTGAATTCTAATGAAGATGTTCACACAATGTTTACTTGCTTGGTTTGAGGCTAATAAAAGGTTTGTTGAGGGAAATAACCTAACATATGCTGAATTTCCAAGTAAGTTTGTATGGATGCCTCAACAGAGAGAATGGAAACCAAGAAAGCAAGGATATAATATTGGACGACTGACGTATGTTCCTCCAGGTTCTGGTGAGTTATATTATATGAGGATATTGTTAACAATACAAAAAGGATGCATTGATTATGATAGCATAAAGACAGATCAATGGGATAACTTACCAAACTTATCAAGATGCTTGCCACGCTTTGGGACTATTGGCAAATGATAGAGAATTCATTGATGCAATCAATGAAGCAAGTAAACTTGCTTCAGGCAATCAATTGAGAAAGTTGTTTGTTACATTATTAGTGATGAACACAATGTCTAAACCAGATGTTGTTTGGAATTCTACATGGAAATTGTTGGCGAGATGATATTTTATATCAAAAAAGAAAGGAGTTAAATCTACCAGGTATACAAAATTTTTTATTTGTAAGTTTTAATCACTTATTTGATTGTTTATCATGTTATGTTATCTTCCAATGCAGGTTTTCAAATTGAAGAATCTGAATTGCATAATCTTTGTCTATTACGAGTAGATGAATTGCTTATGTCAAATGGTAGGTCCCTAAAAGATTATAGTTGTTTACCTCAACCTGATTTTTCAGATTCATTCATATATGACAATAAATTTATTGTTGATGAACTTAATTATGATAAGGAAGAAATGAATAAAGTACATTCAACATTGTTCCGAGTCATTGACTCATGAACAACTATGTGTTTATGAAGAGATCATGAGAGCTGTATTTTCGAGAAAAGGGGGGTTTTTCTTTTTGTATGGATATGGTGGTACTGGTAAGACATTCCTTTGGAAAACTTTGTCAGCTGCCATTAGGTCTAAGGGAATGATTGTTCTTAATGTGGCTTCAAGTGGAATTGCTTCTTTGTTACTTCCTGGAGGTAAGACGAGCTCATTCAACATTTTGCATACCATTATTAATTAATGAGGAATCAACTTGCAATATACCTCAAGGAAGTGTTCGAGCTAAACTTTTGATGGAAACAAAACTAATTATATGGGATGAGGCTCCAATGATGAATAGATTATGTTTTGAAGCATTTGATCGAACCTTGAGGGATATTATGAAAGCAACAAATGTAGAGAATCATGATAAACCATTTGGTGGTAAAGTTATTGTGTTAGGAGGTGATTTTAGGCAAATTTTGCCTGTTGTTAGAAAAGGATCAAGACATGATGTGGTGAAGTCATCTATAAATTATTCTGAAATATGGACAAATTGCAAAGTTCTAAAGCTTACGAGAGAATATGAGGTTAAATACAGCAAAAACAAATGATAGTGCAAAAGATATAAAAGAATTTGCTGATTGGATATTAAAGATTGGAGATGGAGATGTGCCTTTGAATGAAAATGGTGAAGGACATATTCACATACCCAAAGATCTTTTAATTGAAGGCAATGAAACACCTTTACTTTCATTAGTTAATTTTGTCTATCCTCATTTTGTGCATAACATGATGTATGCTAGTAATTTTGATGATGGAGCGATACTTTGTCCTACTATTGATGCAGATTGAGGAAGTTAATAATTTTATTTTATCTTTGATTCCTGGTGAAGAAAAAATATACTTGAGTTCGATACACCATGTCAATCAGATGAGGATCAGGAAATGCAAGGTGAATGGTTTACATCTGAATTTCTTAATGACATTAAATGTTCGGGTATTCCAACTCATCGACTTAGATTAAAAGTTGGTGTTCCAGTAATGTTGTTGAGAAACATTGATCAAGCAAATGGTTTATGTAACGGAACAAGATTGCAAGTGAATGATTTGGGAAAAAATGTCATATCAGCTACTTGTAATTCGTTGGAAAAAATATTGGAGACAAAATCTTTATACCAAGAATGAATTTGATTCCTTCGATCCTGGATTTCCTTTCAAGTTTCAAAGGAGACAATTTCCATTATCATTGTGTTTTGCAATGACAATCAATAAGAGTCAAGGCCAATCACTCTCTAAAGTTGGACTTTATCTTCAGCGTCCGAGTATTCACCCATGGTCAGTTCTATGTGGCAATTTCTAGAGTCAAAACAAAGAAAGGACTGAAAATGCTTATATTGGATGAAGAAGGAAATGTAACATCATGTACTAAAAATGTAGTATACAAAGAAATCTTTGAAAACCTTTAAACATGTGCAGGTACACTATTATACGAAAAACTACATGTTTACTTCATTTATTTGTTATAATTTTTAATTATTTACTCTATGAAAATGTAGATTTATGATGTTTATTATTGCTTCAAAATTATGCTTATTTAATGATCATAAAATTGTACAATTGGTAAGTTTTATTCACAATCATATAACTATTTTACAAATTATATATTTTGTCATTATTTATTCTTTTTCTTTCTTTATTGTTTAATTGTGTAATATGTATTATGAAAAATAAAATTACAATATTTTTTACTAGATTTATCTTTTTTATGCAATATATCAAATTTATAAATTATTATACTAATTTATTTTGATTTGTTATTATTGCATATTATTCAAATGTTACATTATATTATAATCATTATGTTATTATAGAAGGTATTTTTTAAATTTTGTATGATATAATTTTATCGATTATATTTTGTATTTATTGTAAGTTTTTTTTTATTTTATACAATTTTTTTAACATAATTTTTTCATTTAACATTTTTCAAAAATCCCGTGCGTTGCACGGGTTATGGTACTAGTTAACATACATATATCGATGTTTTAAAGGTTTTCCTATGGATGGATTCCATTGAAGTTAACTTCACCATGTGCAAACCCATAAAAAGACAAAAATGGCCTCTACACCTATGCCGTTTCCTAGCCTATTTCCACCTTTTAGCATGGTCCAGGCGCTGTGATAAAAGGCCATGCTTTGCCATTGGTACGTAGTTTCTTGAAAGATTGCATCAACAAGGTTGAACTTGTCCCACTTTAAACACGACACCTTTAATTTTATCACCCACCTTCCTTTGATGCTTGACCACCCTTAAGCACCAACATGCTTCATGTTCTTTCTGTTTCCTCTGAGAATGGCACAAATCCAGACCTCATTGCCACGTGCATGAAGACCATATTCAACAAAAGTCCATAAATTTGTAATGAAGTTAATGTTTGCAGGACTCTTAACTTCTTTCATTGGCCTATTTGATACCCGTCTTGTAGTTACTTCTACTAAGTGTAGTTATAGTAATTACTTCAGACCCAACAATTGCTTATGGTGGGGAATAAAATGGTGCAAGGATTCCCATCGTGTAATTGGGGAATACAGTCAGTGATTGAAATCGTGTTTGAAATCATCGTGTGTTTTGTGAAACATGTAAAGCAACACAAAATATTGCTGCAGCAATTGCATTTCCAATGTGAACCACGATTTGAAACCTTACTTGGTCTATAAGAAACTTAAGCAACTAAGCCATTATGCATCAATCACCATGCCGGGTCAGTAATTCCATTCCTTTTGGATTGTCACTTGCACATGACACCACAACCACCACTCTTCATCACCATTCTCATCCTCGTGATGAAATAGAGACAAAGAAAAGAGCCAAAATGCTTAACACCATTCTTCTTTCAGGTGCAGATAATGGGAGGTATCTTGTCCTTGGCTGTGTCTTCCAGTGACGTATCAATCTCAGTACCATTCTACTTCTAGGTGACAAGACACTATTTGAGGTTTTATTACTGTAGCTGGTGTAACATTTCACCAAACATGTAGGTGGAAATTTTATTATTGTCTTACATACATCTTCATTTTGCACTGATTGACACTTGCTGATGAGCTCAAGTTACGTGGCTATGATTTCCATATTTCAGATGCTGATAGTGGCCGCTTAATAATATCTCATTCTATCAGCCAATTGATCACTGTTCTTTTCCTTCTCTCGGTTAGCATTCACATTGTGTTTTAAATATAGCTATCAGCATGATAATTTTGCACTCAAACTCATTAACTTCTTAATGAATGAGCACTTATAGAAAAAGAAAACAAATTTTATTTCTCATGTAAGTTATCTTATTTAGTTTCTTTCAAAGATGATTTTATCTTAAGAATAAACTATTTTTTGACCTCTGAAAAAAAAAATTGATTCATTTTACTTTTTTCTTGAGTAGTACTTCAAGAAATTTGCTCAAAATGAGTCGTGTGAATACTGTATATGCATCATGTTTTGTTATCTTTTCAGTGAAATGAAAATGTATTATCACTGTAGTCTTATGTTTAATTACCCTTTATTAAAATACACCAAACACGTAACAAAAGTTCATTCATTACGTTCCGTCCTATTCTACTTTACTTAACAATGGTACGGATGTTCTTCAGATTCCTGGCTATATAACTTAGTTTTATCTATGCGATGATGCATATTCAAAAGCTGGCACTGAGAAACATTGCTTATTACCATAATGAGCAGGGAAATGCCATACACTTATGGTAAGCTGAAAATTTGTCAAAAAATCAATTATGGGGCTAAAGTATGGCCATAGGAATATTATTTACACAATTTGTTTAATCATATCTGCAATGAATAAAAAGTGAGTGTATCTATATCAGGAATGTGCAGTGAAATGATTAGATTGAATACACTGATTTTGAAGATTGTCAAAGTACTGGTGATTCTGTGTAACTATCTGCTAAGATGAAGCCAAGCACATGACAACATATTACGTGTGCAGTGGCTAGCTTGCTTTAAGCAGTATATGGGACCTCCCTGCGTATATGCATGTTCAGCTCTTTTCAAATTTAGTTTTGCCACTTTGTGAAATTGAATAGAGTTCAAACAAATTACCCATGTGAGTTCTTGGTCGCTTATGCTTAATATTTGGGACCACTTTCATGTGCCAACTTGCAGCGATGCTTCACTCCCTTTTCTATCTTGAGAATCTGAAATTGGCTACACATACGGTTTTTCTCATTGTCACTAGTAGTCAACACGTTTTGGCTACAATGGATCTTAACATAACAAATAATAAACCATACATACACTTCTTCTTGTTACATAGCCATTTCCTTGAGCATTTTAAGTGGGTTACAAATGCTAGGGTGAGAAGGTATATGCACACAGGTAATTTTTTTGTCTTGAGTAAAATAATTCATACATCAAAGATTAAAATAAATATTAAAACGTAAATGAAATCATCCCAAAATTAATTTTTACAAAAACAACTTTCATTAACACACATCATAAATTGTAACCTGATTCTCATTTTGCACTAAAAACTTGAAGCTTCCATCTCTTCCCTCTAAGACACAAATTCTGGGGGTAAGCAAGTACGTGCACGGGTGAAATTAAATGGCATTCATTAAATACGCAATAAGACAATTGAGACACGTCAAAGATTCTAGTATTTTTCATTATGACTTTGTGAATCAGGTTAACAATATACAACAACAAAAATCAGGTAAACAGTAGATGGAACAAAAATTGCAGGTTAATATAGAGAATCACTCAACAAGTCATAACTTAGGGAATAGTAAAAACACCGAAGTGAATCTCAGCAAATAGGCTTCTTATTAGTAATTGAATGACAAGATAGCAACTGCAAAATTTTTGCACCTTTCAGCACAGGCACTTGCAACTGCTAGGTAGAATTGGAGAGAGGATTGTGGGAGTAATAAGGAATTGAAGTTCTCTTAGCGGTGAGTTACTGGAGATAAACTCATGTCTACTACAACTCAAAGTTACATTATGCTATAATTCATTATTGACTATCCTATGTCATCTATGACATACACATCTGTAGTGGTATGGGCTATTAATTGGGTCATTTCCCTCTACTGGCACTTGCTCAGCTTTGCATTTATACTTACAACCTCTACACTCATTGTACGTACAAGTTGGTGCTGTGGATCCAATCATCAGTCTCCTTGAATTCCTCATTTTCCATGCCTCATTGCCATCCTAAGATTCCACATATTGAATGAATAATTTAGGTCCAAATGGAAAATCAACCAAGAAATTCAAAATGGGAATCCATGTTTGGCTCACCTCCAAACTTGGCTCTCTTTGGTGTTCAGAGGATTGAGATAACAATTCTTCTGTTTTAATTCCTGCATTCAATAAAGTGACAAATTTAGGATACACAAAATGTACATTCTCTGGAAACTGGTGGCAATAAAGTTCATGAACATAAAGAAACTGAGCCAGCCTGGATTGCATTATACTCTTCAGAGCTAAATATAAAACACACAAGAATGGTAGCACCTGACAACTGGGAAAAGTGATTTTCTTTAAAATCCTGGAAATACTCTACAAGAAGAAAACCATTAATTGAAGAAGCTCCACCATGAAATAGAATTGAAAGTAGGATATTTTCAGCATAATAAGAAGAACAAGAATAAAAACATAGAGAAAAGAGTAGAAAGCATGGTGAAAAGTAAAGACCAGATGACAGAGAATCCAATGACACTAATGAGAAATTAAAAATTCATGTAGAAGAGTGTGACATGACTATGACCTTGCGTAAATCTAGCCGCAAGAATTATGGTGAAGAGTAGCAAGAGTACTTCAGGTAGTTTGGTGTCTCCCATTGTGCCCTTTTTGTGTTGTAATAACTATGAAGGGGATATGAGTGTTGATGGTGAATATATATGAAGGGATGAATATGAGTTTGTGGAAAGATAAAGATGGAGAGGAAGGAGAGAGATAACGGTGTTTGTGGTGAATTAATGACCTTAAGAGATAGACTGCCAAAATGTGCAGTGAGACAGAGGAGCATGATCAAGAGGTACAGAATGCTACCCGTAGTGGCTAACATGGTGGAATTCTAGACCCATCCAGAATTACAAGAGTGCCCATATCCTAGTGAACCTGGCCATAGCGAAGACAGTGATTGGTTTGACCTTTTGCCAAGGCAAAACTGGTGTTTCCATGCAAAGAATCATTTGGAATGGCCATAGCAATGTAAAGGCATGTAAACTACTCAACGTGCATCCAGGGTTCTCTGTTATGGATGTGCCTTCAGATTCCAATGAAAAGATCTTCAATAAATGTACAAAATCATATGGACGACAATTCTTTCAAACTTCTAAGTGTCATTTAATGTGGTCGATAGGGTTGTGTAGTGTAAGTTGAATGCTGTCATGTTTTAAACATTAAAAATCAATGACCAATTCTCAATAAACCAACACTCATTAACTTTCTTGAAATGCTAGTATTTTCTTAGGAAATGATGATTCTAAATATTTTTTTTGCTACATCTTAATTTTGCGTACTAGAAGTTATCAGAAGCTTGAATAAACTTCTTAGTTTTACTATTTTCTTACTGTGAAAGAGCTAAAAGGAGGAGGCCAAGTACATTTTGGAGACTCGAAGCTTCCCCAACTCAAATTATAGCCTAGAATGATCCCTTATCAGTTTTACAAGACAAAAGTATCAACTCATTCTCCATCTCTTTTCACTGTAGACCACAGCTTCTTTTTGTAAGGATCTTACCAGAATTTTTCTGTCAAGAGAAGGTTGTAAAAATCATTATCAATTGGAGCCATTTCCAAATTTGTGTTCTAAATAATCCACACATTTTCTTGTGGACACTAACCCACGTGTTTCTTAACACCTTAGTTAGACTAATGATTAACGTTGTGTTGTTTGCTTGTTGCACTGAATTTTGGATGAGCACGAACCAATGAAATCTGAAGTCAAAACGAGATTTTTTTTTCGCCTTATCCTTTTTAATCCTATAAAATTATTAGTTGAAATGAATTTTTTTTAACTTTGTCTTGTTGCCTTATGCCATTGAATTCGTGTATCAAGAATTTAACTTGTCTTTTTCGAGATGGTATGAGAATATCCATTTCTTGTATACTGAATAATCATAGTGATTTATGTTATGCAATTATTCTAGCAAGACATAATGTGTATAAGGAAGGAACGATCCGGGAGAGAGTTAGTTAGAGAATAGACACATGGTAATTATCTAGAAAAGGTAGAGGTCAGGTGTAGCACTCGTGAAAAGAAACTAAGTTCGTTAAACTAAGTTATGTTTTACTGTAATTTACATGAGAAGTGATTTAGAACGAATTTGAATGGGTATTGGTTAACTTAGCCACCTTTCTAAAATTTTGATTTTGGTTCAAATAAGTTTTGTTTGACTTATATTGTCATTAATTATTCATTTTTATTCTTAAGATCTGTGTAAAGATTAATGTTGATAGAATATTTTGATATAATGCTAGAACTTTTGTATGGGAGATAAAATGGTCATACTTCTATTTATGTGTTAAAAATTAGAAGTGAGAGGTTAAACATGATTTCATTTTTGTTAAATAAAGATATTAGTAGCTTAATTTATAAATGATTTTAACTACTTAATCTTAATTTTTTCTTGACTTTATTTAACTACATAGTCTGATTTATCATAACCTAATTTGATTTATTTCAACACAATCTAACATAACTCACTTCGTCTCAACTTATCCATCTAACTTAACTTGATTTGATCTTCTCGTTTGTCTTAATTAGACCAATCTTATAAATATGGTCGACCTAACTTGATGTAGCTTATCATAATTCATATTGACCACCAATATAACTCATATGGATAAAGGTCAAATACTTTGAATCGCACCTAATTCACAAATTTAATATTGATAATTTTTATATTTTTTAGTAATTGAAATATTTTATCCAAATAAAAAAATTTAAAATTAAATATATTTGGATGGTCTTATCCATACAAATAATTTTAAAAATTAAATTATTTAAAATAAAAGAAATTCAGTGTATTATAATTTCTAAGAAATTAAAAAATATCTTATTCAAAAACAAGTACAAGAAACAATCCATCAATGGATAAAATTATAGTTTAAAATAAATAAAAACATAAAATAATAAAAAGAAAAGTAATAATAATTAAATAGTAAAATTACAACTCAATATAGTTGCTGTAGTAAATGAGATAAGAAATATATATATATATATATATATATATATATATATATATATATATAATTGTAGTAATAAAAAATAATAATAGAAAAAAATCACTATGTCAAAATTGTACATATACGAACTGTTGGCTGGAGAGGTGATTTATGGAGGAAAGCTATCTATGATTCATTAAACTTTGGAAAGGTGTAAGAAGAAATAGCCTTTTTCTAGTCTTCAATCCGTTGCACTAGGCCCATCTAGTAAAAGGCCGGCCCAACATAAATTCCTTCCGAATCAGATGAGCAACTGTGAGAGGCCCGGAACAACAAACATCCCCAATTTCCTTCCTTACTCCCTCCATTCCCTTGTTCCATTTTTCGATCCAACAATCAACAATGGCAGTGGCGAATCTGCAGAGGCTGTCCTCTCAAGTGCAACGCCTCCCCTCCCTCTCCTTCTTCTCCAAATCCCTAATCTCGCGCTCCACCGCCACCACGTCCTCCTCCTCCTCCTCCTCCACAAAGAAGGTCTCGGACCGCATCGTGCGGCTCTCGGCGATCGACTTCGAGGGCAAGAAGCACGAGGTGGTGGGCCTGGCGGGCCAGACCCTCCTGAAGGCCCTAATCAACACGGGCCTGATCGACCCGGACTCCCACCGCCTGGAAGAGATCGACGCCTGCTCCGCCCACTGCGAGGTCAACATTGCCCAAGAGTGGCTCGACAAGCTCCCGCCTCGCTCCTACGACGAGGAGTACGTCCTCGTTCGGAATTCCCGAGCCAGGGTCCTCAACAAACACTCCAGGCTCGGATGCCAGGTCCTCCTCGACCACAACCTCCAAGGTATGGTCGTTGCCCTCCCCGAACCTAAGCCCTGGGACACTTCCTAAGCCTCCTCCCCAACCTCGCACCTTTTTCTTATCCTTCCTTCTCAATAATGTAAGAACAGAACTCGTTGAACAAATTCTTATTGTTATATTTTGGGTGTATTAGAGTGCCAGTGATTGGCATGTTATAAATAACTGTTTGCGATCGTGTGTTTTGTTATCATGATGATGAGTAGCATTGTTATTGCATTAAGGTCTTGCTTTCCCCTCGTGACGTTGTTTTGTGATTTTTCTTGTTCTCTTCCTCTCCTGAACTTTTAGATTCCGTCAAAAAGGGAAAATGAAAAATGTGGAGTTTGTAGATGCGTTATTTTGGATTTTTCTTGGGAGAATTATAGTTTCAGCTTTGGACCTGTTTGCAATGGATTGTGAGTGTGGTTGATCGAGAATGTTGTCCGCTTAACCACTCTCTAGGTTAGTTGACTGATATGATGTGGATTTCTCTGTTATTTGCAATGATTTTCAATCGACTGTTTATGTGGAAATGGGGAGAGGGACAATAGTTAGCTCTTATGCTGTCTTGTGAGGAAAACTGATTAATTCTAACAGTATGAACAGCATAGCTGCTACTTGCATTATATATATATATATATATATATATATATATATATATATATATATATATAATCACAGATTCTTAACATAATTTTTTTTCAGTTTCAAATTAAATTTGGAAGATTACATTGCAAAATAGTTTGGAGACACTCATGTGTTTGCTAATGTATATTTTGTTTAGCTTATTTACTTCTACAAATTTGTATTGAAACGAACATGCCATTAGTCTGGACACAAACTTTTGCTTATTTTCTCACTTAAGAGTACATATGAAGTGGCATTAAGGTCAGATACAAAAGGCCCTTAATCACTCGGAGCCATCCTCAAGGTATCCATTTTTGGTTAATTAGAAAGATATATTTTTGTTTAAAGTGCAATAATTGATGAATGTTTTATTTATAATCCTTCTTTTGGAATATTGAAAGTAGTCTTGATTTTAAAGGTTTGAACTTTGAATGATTAAGTAGATTCAGGACATTGTGAAACTATCATACATGAATCTAACGTTAATGCTGTGCAAGTGCTTTCACGCTTAACTAAAGAACTTTTGTATCAGCAAGGGATTTTTAGTCTAGGAATATTATGATATGGGAGGATCTCAACCAAATAGGATTTTTTTTCCTTTTTGACTAACTTGGTGTTCTTCAAGCTACTTCAAATAAGTTGGATTTTGGATTTTAATGGAGCAGTAGTTACTTTGAAAATACATTTTCCCTTTAAGGTTAAGAAATCTAGGAATGTTATACTAGCAACCGAAGAATGTGCAAGATCGACTACATATATTACTCGAAGAACAATGTTATTTTTTTATGGCTTTTATTAAGGTAAAAAATTAAATGCAATTTCTAAGGTCTTTATTGTATTATTCTCCAATCAGAATTGGAGATTCACCTTTTAATATGCATAATAAAGGTTTGTATTAAAGATCTGGTGAGTTGAAGATTCGCTTCCATTGCCTATACTGTTCTTATCAAGATCTCGAGAGTTTACTGAGGTAAAACTTCAATTTTAACTCTTCAAATCCATCATGCATGGTTTTTATCCTTTTGGTTATAAAGAAAGTTTATTAAGCTACAATTGATGTATTTGTTAGCAGGATGGAAATTGACCTAGATTGTATATCCTATCTGCAGATGAATGCTTTAAGTCTTAATTAATTAATGTAGTTATAAACAAATTCATAATTAAGAGGCTGACATTGTAGATCATTCTGCAAAGTGCTCAAAAGTTAGACATTTCATAGTGGTTTAATTGAGATAGAGAAAGACATGGTAATATGTAATGTTGAGCTTGGAACAGAATTTGCTACTAAATCCCTACCCATGCTTGATTTTATCCATCATTCTCTTCCCCTATAAAGTCGTTAATCCGAAATAGAAATGTTTTAAATATTAACGTTGTACCCATATTTGACACCATGAGTACAATATGCCCAGCTACATATACATATCCAAGGAATATTTTGAATAGGAACCAAATTCAATATGGCTCTATCTTTCCTTAAAGCTATAGTAAATAGTTTGTATAGAGCCAATACAGCGTTTGAGCATAGTACTCATTGCACAAAATAGTGATGCTATAGAAGGGTAGTAATCTTGAGCAGCACTTGGGCTCTACCAATAGTGTACAGCATTTTAGTTTTAAATAGAAGCTGTTGTTGTCATGATAGCACAGGAAACTGCAACATTTCGGGTCTGTAGTGGGTGCTGCACAACGATGGGTGCGAAAACACTATTTGGTCCTCTGCAACATTGTCATCACATCAAGGGCTGTTTTTGGAGCACCAATGATTTGGACTCTTTATCATACAAAAATTGTTGTCAAAATTTAAATTTCAAGTAATTGGACTCTTGTTCAGGCGTTCACCATGTAAATGGTGGTATGAGATTTTGATGCATTACCATTGACACACTGCACGGTTTTTAAAATAGTTATCACAGAGGCCAAATATGATTGGGCATAACAATCCCTTGTGTTATATCAGCATAAAAATCTTTAGGCCCTGTTTATTCTATAAATGTTTCTATTTTAGTTGTTGAGGAAATGTAGGTAAACTATTTTATATAAGTTGTTTTCTTTAAGTATTCTAGAGAGATTATTAAATTAAGTTGTCAATAAGTTATAAATACTAAGTTTGATCAAATATATTTTAATTTAATGATTCTTATACAAGGAGGGTTTTACTTAGCCCTATATTTAAACAATCAGTTCAAACGTTATTACAACTCGATTTTCATGGATATGGAAATCTTGTGTAGACCTAATGTCCCAAAAAATTTAACATAAGAAAGAAGACTTGTTAGCGACCTTTGTTGAAAAAGTAAATGATTCAAAAGTTGGTTTACACAATGTTATAATCATAAGAATATCCTGTTAAATTGTCTTACCATGTTTTCTTATTAAAATTATCATCACGATGTTAAATAAATAAAGTAATAAAGAAACATTAACAGAATAACATTATTTTTTATAAAATAATATTTTATTAAACAATTGATAAATTTTTTTTTTCCAATTTTGTGGATGGACTCAACTCATCATTTAACTTGTTGAATTGGTATTTGAGTTTACTCATAATTTATCTTGTTTTAACGTTTATGTCTCTCTAATAAGATGAGACTTAATCCACAAATGTTTAACATGTGCAGCAGAAAATTGACAAATGTATTGTAATTGATTTTGCATTACATCCTACGACCATTTGTCATCCACTTAACATCCCATACTAATAAAACGATTATAATAATTAAATAATATATAAAATGATATTAATAATATATTTTATAATGCTAAAAATAAACATAATTTTATATATTATTAACATTTGAACTATATAAAATTCAAAGTAAAATATGTTATTATTCTTATATTTGAATTTGAATAAAATACATCAATATTTATCTAAATTTGATAACAAGTTTATGTGTATAGAATAAAAAGAAAATAATAAATATTTTAAGTTTTTAATTTTTTTAAATTAAGATGATATATTATTATTATTATTATTATTTATTTAGCGATGGTTTGAACAGTTTTTAGCTTATTTGTTGATTATTTTTTAAAATTAGTTTTATAATTTATTTGAACGGATTATATAATCAATTCATTGGATTTTCGATCCATTCAACCTATCTAATTTATAAAATAGTTACCTTTATTATAGTTTCTCACATAACACTTATTTAGAACATCTTAAAAAATATTATTTTAATATATATATATATATATATATATATATTTTGTATTTCTAAACATTTTTATATATATGTTAAATTTAGGATAAAATAATATTTTTATTCTTAAACAAGTATATTAAATTATATTTATGAGTGTACACAATTCCCATGAGAAAAGCTTTTGATTGAGTAAAGCATCTATCAACACTAATTATAAACCTATCAACCAAAACGCTTCAGCAGTAATCATTCATTCATATATTTGCTTATATAATATGTATAATCCTAAGTATTTACATGTAAAAATATTTTATTTATAAATTTTCCAAAATCCATTAAAAAAAATCAGGAAAATGCGTTTCTAAAGGTAAACATTAATTATGATTATTCGAAATCAGAAAACATCTATGTAACTAAAATTATCCATATTAGCATATACGTAATTTAATGATGTACGTGATATAAAATTAATAGTTTTTTTTAATAATAATAATGAAAAATTTAATAAACTAATTAATAATATAAAAATTTTAATTATTTATGACTATAACATAATTAATTTTGATATTTTTATTATAAAAATTAAAAATAATGAATAAAATTATTAACAAAATATAAATTATTATTTTTTATTTATTTTTTCAGTCGAGCAAATATATATATTGGTTTCTTTCTTTTCATTGTCCACCAAATAAGTCATAAATAATATGAGTGTACAGGTAAATGCTTGATTGGTTATTTTATTAAAATTATTATTAAGTATATAAAATTTTATTTTATATCCCTATTCTTATATATTTAAAATAATTGATAGTTATTTTACACTAAACTTGCGTGTAGTTAAAAATGTGCAGAGATAAAAGTAAATTATCTACTAATTTAGAAAGCAGAAACCCTAAAAGCATGTACTGATGTCAATGGTTGTCCATTATTTTGTGAAACCTTAGTTGTCTCAAACTCATTGGCACTTGCTTTTCAACTCTCAATCATGTGTGAAGTTTAGAACATATTTGCTTCTACCTTATATCCTTCAACTTTCCTTGGATTCAACAACTTGATTAAATGTTTATTTCATAACTTCAAAATTGCATGTCAATGTCATAAATTTGACTATAAAGTGCTTTTATTTTTTAAGTTTTATAAAATTATTCTTAGAAATGTAATATGAGAATATAACATTCATACGACAGATATAAGTTATAAAAATTAGTTTCAAATTCCAAAAACTCTATATTACTCATGTTTCTCTTTCTTTCTATTCTCGTGTAAAAC